ATTTCCTCTGTCTGGAAAAAGAAACTCTCCCATTATATATATATATAAATGCTATGTTTTCGGTTAAAAAGACGGAATTTGGAAAGGACCTTCAGGAACCCGTTTTTTTTTTTTTGCTTTTAATTTACGCAAAGTGACAAAATTTGACTGTTTCAAGAGATCTTTTTGTTGCGTTTTTTCCCTCATTATGATTTTTTTTTTGCAGTAGCAATACGAGAATGGGGCCGAACAGATAATCTGTTGACAAGCAGTGAACAGAAACGCTTACTGGAGGAGAAAAAAAAGAACGCGAGCGCTGAGAAGCCGAAGAGCAAACCAGTAAAGCGAGCTACTGAAATTGCGGCCCCACCAAAGAGAAGTGCCGCACCCGTTACAGTGCCACCATGGAAACGAGCACGTGGGTCAGTAGATTATTATTTATCACTGTTTTCACCTTCATTTCCCCTGATGATTCAGGAATTAAACGCCTAGTCAGCACGCTGTTCTCACAAAAAACATTTTCTGAAATTACATATGATGATTGTCCGTATCACGCTCATAGTTTTTGTGCATTTTAGTATAACTGATATTTTTGGCATATTGCTTGACCCACTGTAGCGGGAATACGGCCAATTTTTTATGATTTGTTTAGTGTGTCGGCGTAATTTAGCTTTGGAATTAAGGTATTAAATTCCAGTTCTGACGAAATTCCCAAGCCGTCTATGAAGCCGCAAACCGTAATCCGAGTGAATCCATCTTCTCTAATGATTCAGAAATTAAACGCCTAGTCAGCACGCTGTTCTCATAAAAAGCATTTTCTGATAATTACATGTTATGATTGTCCGTATCACGTTCATAGCTTGTGTGCATTTTAGTATAACTGATATTTTTGGCATATTGCTTGACCCACTGTAGCGGAATACGGCCACTTTTCTGTGACGCGTTGTCTCCATCTGCGTAATTTAGCTTTAGAATTAAGGTATTAAATTCGAATTATAGGATTCTCTTGTCATCTACAAAACAGCAAACCAGAATCCGAGTGAATTCATCTTCCCTGATGATTCAGAAATTAAACGCCTAGTCAGCACACTGTTCTCATAAAAAGCGTTTCCTGATAATTTTGTATAATGATTGTCCGTATCACATGTTAACTCCTCTTCTTTCTCTCCTTTCTCACTCTGTTTGTTCTTTCACTGGTATCTCTTTCGTTCGCTTATCCGTCTTGCCAACTAGTTATATGACTGTTCATCAGATCATGGCGAGTAGGAGGCTGTACTGATGATTCCCACTTTTACCCGCATGCACTGCTCGGTCTATGTTTACAGTTAAGGGATAAAACACGGAGACTGCACCGCGTAAAATGTCTTCATGAACATGACATTCAAGTCTAATCCCTCTGTTCTTCTACTCCCTTTGATTTCTTCCTTATCCTATGACTTGAGACCAAAATTTTGGCCCCTGGTTCTTGCGGGGAAGCAAAAAGTCTGTAAAAATGATGGCTTAAAAACTTCATCAATGTAAGTATTACTATCAGAATCTAGCTTACATGTCTCTTTTTTGTATTTTTTCAGCAAAGCCTATGATCCACCAGGGCCTGCTGTACGTGATAGCTGGAAAAGTGCGATGATCCCGAGCGCATCGATGCGTGCTCCTGTTCCAACATTTCCTGGTATTTTTTTTTCGTTTTCTAGCATTTGCACTGTCTTATCGGTGATTTCTGTAACAGCAGAAAAGTTATCTACAAAGATTGTTTCTTTGAAAACACCCTGATCTGTGTCTGTGAAGTGATTTTATTATGCGTTTTTTGCAGAAAAATTTATGCAATGCAAAAACGGATATTGACGAGGGGTTGTCTGTGTGTCCGTGTGTCTGTATGTGCGTCTGTCATGCACCTTCATCTCAAGACCTATAAAAGCTGCAGGGCTGAAATTTCGGGGACTTAATCTACATCCACATGCCGGTCCCAATCCCCAAAATGGGCGCCATTATTCGCGTGGTACCCACGTACGGGCCTGCCAAAATTTTTCTGGGGTAAGTTCATAATTCGGGGATCTGAGAAGCTAGAATGCTGTCTTAGCGGGTTGTTCCCTGTCCTAGTGGGTATCAACGAGTTCAAACTCTGCCCGCGGGTAAGCGTGGTACCTACGTACGGGCTCGTGAAGGTTCTTCCGGGTAAGTTACTAGCTCGAGAACGTGAGAAACTAGAAGACTGGAATTTTGAGGGGATGTTTCCTGACAGTTCTGGCGGC